ATGATTTCAATAGCATATGGGAAGTAATATTGGTTGATCAGAAGATATATTGTGAGCTTTTATTAGAGGAAGATTTTCATGATTTTGTTGCTGATAGCTGGCTCTATTGCTCATCTCCTTCACCTGTCTAGCTCTGCCCTGCTCCTCATCAGATCCACCTGTTCCAGTTTCCTATTTATGCTCCCTGTTTCCCGCCAACAGTGCCAGCCTATACTTGAGCCTTTCGTTAAGAGAGTTTTCTAACTGACTTTAGTGTCTGAACCTGATCCATTTTTGCTTTTGCACCTTTGATCCTGCCTGCCCTTGTCTTATTAGTTTCACTGCCTGTCTCCAATCTCCTTCCACATGTGGAACTCTCTGGCAGCGGCCACTGCTTCTGTTCAGTCAACCGGCTGGAACATCCCCGTTCTTTGGACACAGAACTGAATTGTTAAACCAAGTTAGTGAATCCCATATACATATTTATCCTCCATCAGATTATCGCACTAACCAACCTGTGTTTCTCTCAAACAGAGCTTCAGTCATAGACGCTCTAGCTGCTTATACCACAGATCCACAGACCGCTCTTGTGTTTTAAATAAACAATAAATAAGTAAGTATTCCACTGTCTTTCTCACCTGAATTCTGGGTCCTACGTTCTGAGCTTATTACTAAGAACCAACAAGTTTGCCTTACAAGTCTATTAGGGATTGATATGGGGAAAGCTACAGGTGAACAGCTTGATAAATCGTGCCGGAAAAATGTAAGTCTATTTAAAACTGAAAATATATTTATGCATTAACAGAGGCATGGGCATCAGTCCTGACATGGGCTCAAAGAACAAGAAGTGGACAATAACGAACCCTCATCTGAGCACCTTTTCAGGAATCTTATTAAGTTTGAGCAGGTTTCATAGTTTTTTTTTTTATAGTAACAGCAGGTGTCAGGCTCAGTTTTTAGAAGCTTAGTTTTTGGGGGAATTTTACTTTTTAAAAACAACTTTGCCCTATAAAAAGCACTGTAATGTTTGGATTCATTGTAATTGTGATTGAGAGGAGTGCCTGACCCCTTTAAGACATCCTCTATTCCACTCTCTCTCCCGTTATGGTCATGTCGGCCTCATTCACTCTTACTGTTATTGTAACACAGCTGACGGTTGAATGGCACATGTCATTGATGTGGGAGTTTCTGCACAATTGCTTTGCATTTTAAGATGTTTTATTACTACAAAGTATAATTCATTGAATTGTTAAAGTTCTTAATATAAAATATATTTTGAAAAACACTTATTTGTTAAGAAATATGCCATAGTGCCAAACACAAAGTTGTTTAATTAGGGGGTGGTTGGCATAATTGTACAACGATTGCACATTTTCTCCATAATTTTCTCCAACTGAATAAATACAAAAGTGAAATAATAATTAGACCAAAGGAGAAGAGATCCAGAGTTAACACGCAACTTCAGCTACTACAGCTAGAAACCACAGATTATGGCCAAAATCATGATGGACTCTGACCTGAACCTTTAGAGGTACATAAAGGCGGTTACCTTTTTTTTTCTTTTACCACCTTTAGAACATCTCCATGATTAATGGACTGATGTCCAGGCAGGATCCCAAAGGACTCATTAATGCATTTATTTTTAGCAGAATAAATTACTGCAATGGTGTCTTTATAGTTTTGCCTAAAAAGTCCATCAGACAGCTGTGGTTGATCCAAAATGCTGCTTTTCTGCCCAGTTATGAATTCCTTACCTTGGCTCCCTGTAGCTCAGAGAATAGACTTTAAAATCCTTCTGTTAGTCTGTAAATTACTGAATGGATCAGCACCTCAATACATGACAGATTTGTTGTCAGGTCTTCTAGTTCAAGCCTACTCTAACTGGGAGTGTTGGCCTAGTGGTTAGAGCAGTCTGCCTGTGCTCTGAGAAGGTTGCAAGTACCCGGTTCGATTAGCACAGCCTCCACTCTGCGTTCCTGAGCAAAACCCTTAACCCCCGATTGCTCCCTGGGCACCGCCCAGTGGCAGCCCACTGTTCCCTAAGGGGGTGGGTTAAATGCAGAGAGTGAATTTCCCCATTGAGGGACAATAAAGGGATTTACATTTATATTACATTACTCTGTATACCCAGGACTAGAACCAGACATGGAGAAGCAGCATTTAGTTCCTATGCTCCACTTATCTGGAACAAACACCCAGAAGACTATAAAAGAGCAGAAAGCCTGAGATCTTTGAAGTCAAAGTTAAAAACCAATTTGTTTAGAGCTGCCTTTGACATTTGAAGTTAAACTGTTAACTGAGGCATTTAGTTTAAGTCTAGATAGACCGGATCCTTCTGAGGATGCATTCAATGGATTTGAACACCGTATGACTCCTTAGCCCTGTCTGGCACTGTCAGGATTAGGATCAGCTAGTTTCTGAGAAGGGATTCCAGTTCCAGTGAGTTCCTATTCCTGCAACAGTAATTTACTTAAAAAAAAAAAACATTTTGTACTCTTACTATTTGTGTTAACTTAATTATCGGGTCTCCACATTCTGTCCAGTCATTAGATTTATGACTAAAAAAGTATAAATAATTCCTACCACCATTAATGATACTAATTGACTTGCATTTATGCTTTAGTTTGAAATATAACAACAATATATAATGTTTCCAAATATTTAAATCGTTTACGCATATATAGTAAAAAAGTAAGGAAATCTGTTGTGCCTACACTTCATGCTTTTGTTCTCACTCTCTACCTGATTGTTTCTCTTTAAATGGTAACAGGAAGGACATTTTTGAGGTGGCCGAGCAGAATGTGAGTTGCAGCCATTTAACAAACTCCATCTTCTCTCACAGTGCCATGCAGCCTTTTTGTATAGTTGTATATTTTTGTATATTTGTTGGAATTGATTGAAATTTCACATCATTCATTCGGAGCCTGTTAACCATAGAGTTATGAAAAGAGCCACTGGCATGCAGTCAGCCTTTGGTCTTTGTTCGAATACTGCTTTAATCACTTCCCACCTCTCCAGACCAGAGTGTCTAATTCATGTCTGTTGTGTGTGCCACTTGGCTGCCTTCTGCTGCACTCCTGGTGGTGCCGTAGCCTGAATTTGTACAACCCCTGAGCACTTTTCTGTGCACTCTGAGAGTTTATTCAAGTTTTTACCTCTGCTCTTATTAGGAGCTTTTAAATCCCTTTTTAACTCTATATTTAAGGCTTAACAAAGGTCTGCTTGTTCCACGTTGCCAAAGCAGCACCTTGCTCACACACAGCAGGTTCAATGGTGCCTCCTAGACTGTCTAAAACAGAATGAGAGGCAGAACTTTCAGTTTTCAGGCTTATGTGGAGCAGACCTCAAGTTTTCGTCCCTGTGGCTGACCAACTGCTGTAAACAATTTCCATTATAGATGATAGGTCTGTTTTTCAGTGTTTAGTCTTTCTCTCCTAAATATAGCTAATAGCTAAGCTTTCACTGTGGCTGACTGTATGTGCTCTCTTTTATTCTCTTGACCTGAAAAGTGGCAAAGAGCTCATCTGTCTAGCTTTGTTTCTATTCTCTTGTCAATAACTTCTGTTCGATAGAAAGTATCCCTGGATCAATAACTCTTTGTTCCTTTTGTGTTTCTATTCTGTCTCCTCTGCAGAAGGCCTTGGTCTTTTGAAGCTGTCTTCTGCTTTAAGAGAATTTTTTCTCTCTCCACTGTTACTACAAAAGACACTGGAGAGTGTTGTGAACAGGTACTAAATAAAAAAGAATGCAACTAAATTGAGACTAACACCATATGAAGATGAAGCAAAAGGCCCGACAATCCCAAATTTCCAAATAGGTGAGAAAGATTATATCTCTGCTGTAAAGACCCACACTTATTTCAATTCAATTTATTTATATAGTGCGAATACACAATATGGTATCTCAAAGCACTTTACGGAGACAATTAAATCAGATCAGTCAAATTGCTAAAAGAATATTCTAAGGAAAACCAGTTGATTCCATCAAGTCTTTGACTTGGAGGACAAATTCATCCTGGATGAGCTTGTGGTGACGATATTTAATTAAATCTTGCCAGATTAATCAAATAGTGATTGGTTGGCAGGCTGTTTAAGTAGGGAGAAAATGGGTAGGACCCATGAGTACTAATGGCAGGGGGCATGGCTGGTGCAGGATGTGAAGAAACCAGCACTTTTTCCAGAAACATGATGGGTAGTAGGAGGCAGTAGATTCCTGATTCCTGACACAGCAGTCTGTTTTAACGGCACCTGTACCTTGTTTGTTAGAGTTACTTCCTAAACATCCAAACAAATATTATTTTTAATTATGGTTGGTCTATATATTTTTAAACACTGGAAATCATTAAAGTTTGCTTGTGGTCTACTACAAAAATCTGAAAAATCTGGTTGCTTTCTCAGTCACTGTTGGGTTTTTTAGGTCAGACTAAGATATCATTAGGCCAAACCCAGAGAGACTTACAGCGACAAAGAGAAAAGATTCCCCAAAAATGTTCCAAGAGCTTTAAGGTTCCTGGAAATGCTGAATGCTATTGGTTGGTTTTTGCCATATCGGTGCACATGTCAGGAACAAACTGGTCTGACAGACAGTGACCATCAATTTACACATTGTCCAACTGCCCTTCTGGACTGTGAAGTTCTCCACCCTCCTAATGTGCCTTATGTTTAGGTGACTTTAAAGTTAAAGGCCACAGCACTTTTTACTGGTTCTCTTCCTAATTCTACCTCAAAATGTTGCTTTCCACATTTTTTTATTTTATTGCCATAATTAGTAGAATCAGGGAGGAAATGGACCAGAGGCCTGCAGCAGAGTCCACCATGTAAGGTCTGCACAGGCTAATAAAGAATAAAAGTAGCTGAGAAACCATTTATAGTTATTTTAATATTTAATTTAACTGTGATTTTTAGTCCTTATGCTATTTTAAATTTTGCTTTTAACATTTTTTATTGTTTACTGTAATGAAAGAAAGGGCAGAGTCAGGGAGGAGATGGACCAAGGGCCAGCAGGAAGGAGAATGATGGAGATTCTTTACAGGTAAGGTCAGATTATAACTTCCTGAGAATATCTATTGCAGGGAGAAACCAGGCAGCAATTAGCAAAAGATTTTCACAGGTATTTCACATGAAACGTGAAATTCAATGCAAGACTGATAAATCACTTTGAAAAATGTGCCCCCCCCTTACATCTGAGATGATAGTTACGCCCCTGGATGTTAACCCAGATGTCAGTCCAGAACAATATCTCCCATAGAGAAGTTGTTCTTCGGTTTAAACTTCTTCACTTGAAGGTTATTGTGTATTTAGAAAGATTTTCAAGGATAGTTAGGTACACCAAGTGAAAAGAAGCTATATTGACTGCTTATTTTCGTCTTTTTAATGTTCAATTGTTAGATTTTGATTACCTACTCTATTATATTATGCCTAGTAACTGATCCAATGGGGGCAGTTAATAATAGACACAAAGATAGATAAAAATATCCATAGATGCCTTAATATAGCAAGGTTTTTAAACAAATATAGCCTTCTTTAGCTAACTATTTAGAAAATTGTTTACTGTTGGAATAATCTGATTTCCAAATATTCACTACAGTCTTGCTGCAGAATGTGGCAAAAATAGAATAAAATTAAGTTTTTAAGTTAATTTAGCCAACTTTTATTTAGTTTGGACCTTGGAGACTCTGCACCATTGGAGCCATCACTTGTGGGATTGAAAGCCAGATCCTCCTGCACGACCCATATATGGTGGCTAAGGTCCTCGGCATGGCTATCACAGGAGTCCTGGCCTGGTGACCTTCGCAACATGTCTTTACCCTCTCTCTTACCCTATTTCCTGTCTGCCTACTTTCATGCATAACAGAAATAAAAGCCACTAGAGCCTAAAAAGAAAAGAAACAGATCTAGGTACATGCAATAGCATCTATGTTCCTACTGAAGCTGGCTCAGAAGATGGCCGTTCTGGGGGGGTGATGTTATGGTCTGGGAGAAGGTCTCCTTCATGTTCTTCCACCTACCAAAGGTTGCCGGTGCTGACAGGTGGTCCTCATCTAAGCCAATTGCTGCCAGCCCTTTGTTGCCAGAGCATTGTTTCTGTTTCAGTCTGAATTTGTGTAACTACTGGGTAATGGTTGGAGAAATGCTGGACCTGCATGTACACACCTAAAACTGTGCTGTCATAATAACAGGATCTTGCAGCAGGTTTCTCATTTAAATGTAAAAATAAGCTGCTGAATGTGTTTAAAAACACAGTTTTCACAGCAAACAACACCAGTCAATATCAGGACAAATTAAATGAAAACAGAATAACATTGAGACTTAACTTCTGTGTGTAAGTAAATGGGGGGTATCTTGACATGTTCAAACTGTGTGTGATTAAATAAAAACCCTGATGGATTACCACAGGCCCTCTTTCCAACCTATCTCCACATTTCAAAATGTTTATGTGTTTAAACTCTTGGGGTTTCTATTTAAATAGCTCTGCTATGTCAGACCAGGCCCATGAAATTTGATCTAAAGCCACAACAACATGGGACAATAAAGTTTCTTTTAACAATCATAGACACTGATTAGCCTGTTAAATGGTTTGGAACTAATCCACCTAGAAACTGAGCCTATTTAAAGCAGCTGTCAGCTCTACGGCCCGTTAAAAAGCATCAAACCTCACTAAAGCGAGGGTGAAGCTTTTCAATAGAGGTAGAACTGAACCCACACAGAATATTTTCCTCTCTCACCTATGATGATGGTACAGGCACTCAGCAGTCCAATCTCCTTCTTCAAAGTCACTCTGTCAGGAATTTCTTTTTTCTTCTTCTTCTTCAAATTTACAGCTGGTTGATGTGTCCGAGAACAGATATTGTTGCAGTTCTGTCCATCCATGTCTGTCTGCTTGGTTCTGATCGGATCTGAGCTAACCTCAGCCCCCGTACTCCCAGAGCTCTTGTCCTCTCCTCACTCCCAATTCATGCACATTCAATGGGCTGCGCTTGCGCAACAACCGGCCACTCTCCAGGATAGAATGTTAAATATCCAGAGCCCACCATGATACGTTCAGGGATCCCGGGAGGAAACATCTTTAAAACCACATCCAGAGTTCCCACTCGCAATAGTAAATTTGCAATGCAAAAAATTTAAATCTAAATAGGTAATTATTTTCAATAAAAAAGTGCATTCATTCTTGAATCGAGGAGGTAAGTGAGACACTTTGCCAATGGAACAACACAATTTACATTTAAAATTAGAACAAACAATGGCATAGTCGGATTTCAAGTGCATATTATCTAATTATCTTATTTAAAAAGTAAAGATCGTTGTATTTATTTACTCAAATTAAGGGTAAATAAACTTAATCTAAGAAATGTTTAGTTATTTTTAGATTGTTTTTGCAGTGTGCTGCTGGACTTAGTGATCAAGATCAAATGAGACATCAAAAAGCCTCTCAGAAAACCTGAAGAACTAAAGTTGTAGCCAAGATTACTTTTAACAGTCATAAAAGTTTGACTGTGGATAGTTATTGTCATGATTTTAATTAAATTTAAAATCCAAACTCTCAGGTCAGACGTTATAGGTGTCATATATGTAAAATCTCCTGTGTGTCTCTCTGTACGAATTCAAATGATAGCTTTTAGCTTCTGTTTTTGACACTACTAGGGTAGCCACCTTTGATAAATGAAAATAATAATGCAAAAAATTGCTGCATATAAAGTAATATAGCAAACAGTGAGTGAATTATAATTAAGTGCCCAATGCACATGACAGTAATTGCACAGTTATATATATCTAATGTATTATCTAGCACATGACACTAGACTAGTACCTAAAGGTGATCAGTTTGTGTTGTGTGTAATTAAAAACCATTTAAACATATATAAATATTAAATTTTGCCAGTGCTAAATGCTCATAAAACTTTACTATAAGAGCTTCCAAACAGCAGCAAACTGATCTGCATTCCCCACAAAATCAAACTTCTCTGATAACTTTCCAATATTTAATCTGAATACTGGGTCCTTATAATAAGAAATAAAATGCACAAAGAGATCCTAAAAAACTTTTTAAAACTAGGAAAAAAGAAAAAAAAAAAGAAAAGAAAAATGTACTTACTTTAACAATGTTTGTTTGCTGAAATATTTTTAATCTTAGATGTTACTCTTTAAATAGCTGCTTAAATATGCTGGAAATATTTTATAATCTTCCTTGTCCTCATCCCCGCCGACACTGTTCAGCTAGGGATTTGCTTCTTCATTTACATCTGTATTTTTGAATGCGTTTCCTTCTGAGGAACTGGTGGAGTATTGTGTGTGAGCATGGGTGAAAGGGACTGTAGGTGAGGGGGGTCCGTCTCTAAGTGACAGTAGCTGATGTGGAGCTGAGCAGGTCCTGCTAAGGACCCATCAGGACAATTTAGCTGGTTTTATTAGTTCCTATGATTTATTTAGTTAATATTTTTTATTTAGTGTTGATGTGAAATTGACATATACTGTATGTGTATAGTGCATCTATGAAAATACAGGAAAATCATGACCCTCATTGGTTGAATATGGGATGCAAGGTATAACAGTCAAATAATTTAAGGGACGGGTGGCAACCCTAGCTACTAGCTACTAAAGAAAATTTGGGAGGATTAATAAATGTAGACAATCAAAGTCATCCATAAACCTCAGTGATATTTTGGCTTTCTAAGGAAAATTTCTATATTTACATGATGGAAAGCTATTACTGTAAGAGATATTATGTGACTCAGTGTTTCCCAACCGGGGGTACGCGTACTCCTAGTGGTTTACGAGTTCATTGCAAAGGGTACAAAAATATTTTATTTCTTAGAGTTATGGATCTCTTTTGTTTTGTGAGGATCCAATTGAAAAAAAAACTTTTGTCAACCAAAAAGTAAGTTTTTGTTATATGTTTGAGCTCATCTTCAGTTTTGACACACATCGAAACCAAGCAGAGGAACAGAATGGATGTAGAGAACAGTCTGGTATCAGCTCTTTTCACACTATTGGGCTCATCAAAGCAGCTCGGGTCACTGGATTAAAACAGATTAAAACTAATTAAGTCAGTCTGACTATAAATGTTGTTCTCAATTTATCAAGTGTACTTACTCAGACGGGCTCCAGTTTTATAAATACAGGTTTTATAATATGATTTTGTTTTGTATTTGATTTCTTACTAACTTTCAGGCAACATATTTAAGTTGGTTTTTTTTTATTTGAGATGGAAAGCATAAAGTTACAAAAAATTTATTGGGAAACACTGATGTAACTGAATGACCAATGAGAATGCTGTCATTTAATTTTAAGTAAGAATAATGAACAAGAAAAGTAAAAATCCAAAAAAAGACAATTATTTAGTAAAAAAAAAAAGAAAAGAAAACAAGAACAAAAAACATACACACTTATAGCCATCATAGCTTATATTTGTAGGATACATACCATAGATAAACAAAATGAAAGATGAACATACCATGTACCATGGGTGCTATCCACTCTGCCGCCATGGTCCCATCTGATTCTAGCCCAGTCCACCTCCACTGGGCTACTGCCTCAGAAGCTCTAAGCACCAGGTGCTCAACCTCCAAGGAGTTATCTGTGAAAACAGAAAATAAAAAACATCCCAGAAATGAATACATCACTAGGAGAGGCAAAAACTAGTTTTTGTACATCTTCAGAAAGAAAGGCACCAGTGAACACAATGCAATAAAACTGCACCCACATGGAAGAAAGCAGTGATAAATGATCTCCACAATAAAGAGAAACCTCTTCAGAACAGCTATCCAAGAGAATGACACCACCATCCAGGAAGCAAGCTTACCAAATCTACCATATAGAGAGAACTTAATAAAAGTAAATACAGGGGGTTCAGTATAACCCACTGGTACACCTCAAACGTAAATGGGCTAGATGGGATCTTGCTGAAAAAATTGGAAGAAACTGAAAGAAAATTATTTTAAAAACATGAGAAGAGAGAAAGATCAATCTCTACCAGAGCAAAGGGAAGGGAAAGTATGAGCCATGGCACACCACATCATCTGTCAAACACAGGGGAGGCAGTGTGATGGTTTGGGCATGCTTGGCTGCCAGTAGCACAGGGTCACTGGTTTTTACTGTTAATTGGTGAGCATGTACTTAACAGTAAAAAAAAAAAAAAAGACTTGAAATAAAAAGCCCCACAAGCAGTAAAAGCCTGGCAGACATTAAAAAAGAGGAGACGCAGTGCCCGGTGGTGTTTTTAATAAAGCTGCTAAATGCCTCAGCTCAGCTATTTGTAACCTCCTGCTAAGTAGCCACTTTGTGACTGTGGCTGGCCTGCTACCATGTAGATTCTATTATATAACCATACAATAAGACCACCCTTTCTCATTGCCTAGTGAAGCAGAAATGCAAACACAAGATAGAAAAAAGAATAGAAAGATAGAAAATAAAAATAAAAAGCAAGTAATCAAATAATAAAAATGAAAATTATAATGACATTAAAAACACTAGGTTATTATTGTAAATATGAATAATAGATGTGCGAATTAAACTTACTTACATATTCATTTCTAATTGTAAAATTTTACTTCTGCACTTCTGTGATTTATTTCTTACCAATTTAATTGTATGCCCATGCATTTACTGAGAAACAGTTTATTTATTTATTTTTTATTATGTCAGAGTTGGTCCATCATAACATTCTGGCCTCCTCTCGACAATATTTTAAACTTTTCTGTACTTTTGTAAATGCTATAAATGCATTTCTGATTTTAGAACAACCTTTGCTAATGCAGCTGTTGCTTTATAAACAGAGGAACCTCGGGATAAACGTGGTCCAAATACGGACCAATCAGCTTCTCGGATTCCTCGACCGTCCCTCCCACTCCGTCCAATCAGAGCGTTCTTCACGTAACTCTGCGAATCAAACTTCTTGCACCAATCGGGAGCTTCGTTCGCTCCAACCGCAGTAGGGATTTTTCTGCAACACCAGGACTACGGCACACATTCATATTTCTACAAACTCCATTATAGGACATCAACAGTGTGGATTTTCATCCCGGTAAGAACTAAATTAATGTATTTGATTTACTTTTTCTTTCCGCTTGTTAGCCCAGCTTTGATATATTGAGTTAATCTCTGAACCATTCAAGAGTTTCAAGACAGTAGCATCTGTAATAGCTAGCTTAACTGTCCGCCTCGTGCTGTGTTTTCATTGATGATACTGTCTAATCTTTCTGTATTTTTTACATAAAGACAGGTTTCCTTCGTTCAATGCCAGACAGTTTTGATTCGCCCAGTAATGTTTTATAATGTTTCGTTGTTGTTTTTGATTGAAGTGTTGCATATAGGTGTTTACATTGACGCTGTCTGCAGAGAGGCCGACGAGTGTCTGGGGCGGCCATCTTGGGTCAGACCACAGTTCAGACCGCCGTTGTTATCTTATTTTAATCACATGCAAGACAAGTCAAAGATAGTATCACAATAATCTCTTACAAATTCATTATTTTTAAGGATTGCTCTTTCATAAAGATTATTATGATCTGTATAGGAAAATTAGTTTTAATGCTATTTACAAAAGAGATGAAAGATATTTAGTATTTTTATCAATTTCAATGTTAACTTTTATTTATATTTTGTCATTGTCACTTTTTTGTCATATAGTGAACGGTAAATTTATGTTGTGTTTAACTAAAGGGTTTTTGTCATTATAAGTTGGTTTAAACTTCTTCCAAAACTATTATAATATTCAAATTATGTCTTTTAATATTCATGCAAATCTGAACATTTACTCTTTTAATCAGTTAATGTGTGTCATATATATATATATATATATATATATATATATTAGGGGTAGAACGGTTCACAAAATAGGTTTGGTAAACGGTTTCGTGGACACGGTTTTCGGTTCGGTATATGTTTATTGTTACACCGAAAAATAAATGTTTTTATAAAAATTGAAAAAAAATTAATGAAAAAATAAAAATTTATGAAATTTATGAAAAAATCCAAACAAATTAATACACTGTAATTATTTGTAATGATCCGCGGAAACCCTGGATCATTTCCGCATGTTTTGCTGCTTTGAATCTAATCATCTTGCGCATTCCCTCTACGATCTCCAAGGAACTCAGAGCGGAGCGGACGGGAGCCACCGCTGAGGATGTAGGCTTTGCTTTGCCCAGGCAGTCTGGAGTGTAGCAGGGCGGAGCGCTGACGGAGTATGTGGGATCTTGGGGTTAGCATGACATGTTGGTCATGTTGCTGTTAGCATAAACAAAACGTGTTGCACAATGTTTGCACACTGTTGCACTTTTATCCACAAGTTTCTTTCCGCCGTCATCGTAGGTCACTCTAAATGCAAAGTGGTCCCATACAATCGCCATACCCACACAATTCTCCACAACAACTGATTTTTTTCTGCTACACCCGGCTACGCT